AAAAATTTTTAATTTTAAAAACATAAATTATAAAAAATTTTAATAAGATAAGTATTCAAGTAGTCTTAAATAAAATTGTTTATCATGCTCTCAAGTATATATATTTAAATTTTTATGTTATTTAAATGAATATTTATGGAGAAAATTAAAATATCTGGTTTTTTTTGTTGCACACTGTATGTTGTGTTAGATTATGTAATTTACCATTTGATTTCCAGAAAATTGCCATGATTGTAGCTATCTGTCTGTTATTACACGCCGATTTAATTGTTTCGGGTTTGTCGATTTTATTGAATTCATCAAGTCGATGATTTATTGTTTCTTGAAACTACACCAATAAAAAGTGCTTTGAATTCAGTAATATTAAAATTAATGAATGTACACTGACTGAAATAAATACCTTTCTATTATATCGTCTGTTAATAACTATTTAAATAATAGTTCCAACAAGCGATATTACAGTTGCAATAATAAACAAGATAAGGAACATTATTAACAGTATAAATTGTATTATTGGTATATATTTGAATAGTTTTGACGGACGAGCTGCATTTATCGCTTCATTGAATTGCCAAACTCTGATGCTGAATAACTGGAGTGTCATCTTTAATTGCAATTGTTTGGTGTTCCTGATGATTGCGAGAAAATCAGAACGTCAGGAAACTAAAATACATCTTTCACTTACATAACCGTCAAGCTTTGATCCAAGATTATACCTTCTTCGGTGAATGGCACTCTTATAGATTTCATTTTTATTATGTTTATTGTTAAATCTCAAGGTCTAATTAATGACTGGTCTCATAGGAATTGAACGTTTTTATCGTAATTTAGAAGAAATCAAAGCTTGCGCTGGTGAATTATAAAAGATGATAATATTATTGCAATTAATAATTCTTTAGCCTAGCATACATTTTATCTACTAGAAAGATACTTATACAACAAGTGGCTGAAAATTTTGTTTAATTGTGCAAAAGATATAAACTTCAAAAATGCGAAAGAAAAAGCATATATCGTTTTTCAGCGCAGCTTGCAAATATTCCTTTCTTCTCTGCTTTAAATCAATTTTGAATGATGATCAAATGGGTAATTGCAAATTGATTGCTCTTTTGTCTCATATCATTTAGTTCGATTATGGAATTATGGAACATAGCAATTAATTGCGATAACGATAATCTCCTTTTTTTATTATTTTAAGAAATATATCTGATATTTGGTGATTATTTTGCTTCAATAACGATAGTGAAACCAAATAAACTTCTCTCGGGATGAAAATTTTCAATTAGTACATGTATATTGAATTTATACGCAAAGTTACTAATAATAAATATAAATTAATTATAATCGAATTCACATATAAAAATTTAATGAGACATCCAAGTGTGCCGAAAAAGCTCTTTGTATGATTGGTTGTTCGCATATATAACTGTAAATAGCTCGAACAAATATATGTTAATTATTAATGAAATATTAAAAGTTAACGTTAATGTAAGAGTATATTATATCATCGCAGGATATTTATACATGTAGAAATCTTGTCTACAGTCAACGTAAATTAGCGATCCTTCACTCCATCTTGAAACTGCGCTTACCGATGACTAATTAGTAGATGTACTATTTTTTATTATAATTTACCGACAAAGATCATTAATTATTACACAATACGCGACAATGCAACTTATCGACTGGCAATAGAATTTCTTTTTATATCACAAAAAGCGGAAGATGAATCCTTGTCTCCCAATTGTTTACGCTTCGAATAATACTTTCACAAATTCTCTATTTTCAATTTATTAATACCCAGCAAAAAGGAAAAGAAAAAGCGTAGGAAATCCGAACAAGAAAATCACCAACAAAAAGCAAAAGAAACCAACCAATTGCAAACTTCTACTTCAAGAAAAACACTTCGTCGTTTGCGAAATGAACAGCAAATTGAGAAAATTTCGTCAAAAATACCGCATGGAATTTTAGCTACTTTGAATTTAGATAAAGCGATAGAAATTACTAAAGAAAAAGGTAAAATGAAAGTAACACGTTTTCAACAGCAGTATTTCTTCAAAATTTTCTATTCTAAATAGATTGCAAAAGAACGCCGTCGGTTGATTATAAAAGTTCTTGATCGTGAATTTGACCTTTCAGAATACTATTCTTGCCTTTATAATCTACGTAAAGTAACCTATACTTCGATTATCAAGCGTGTATTATGATGCAACTTATAAGACAGCAAGAAGATGCTTTGAACTCTATAGAATTATCAGTAATGTTGAGGGTGCAGGATTTCCAATGGCATACCTCGCTTTGAATATTATGAAAGTGCAAGATATTGAAGAATAAACAGGATTACGGATGAAGACACTTGCTAGGACCTTTAATCTTTCTGTGATAAAGAATTGCAACCGCGCCACAATACTTTTACACTAACAAAGATTCGCAGAAATCAATACTGTGAACGAAGTGTGGCCCAATGCTGATATATAGCTTTGTCTATAGCACATCGAGAAGGCTGTTAAGGAAAAGCTCAAGCGTTGTAAGTGAATCTATCACAACTAATATTAGCCAAATGATACTATAGTAGAGTTTGATTTCATTGACCCCATATTTAAGCCTGATTTGGAATGTTCTGAGCCTGAATACTATATGGTATATCCATCAAACCTATGAGATAAGATTGCTAATCTAATTAGAAAGCACTTTAATATGCATACAAGAATTTCTATAAATACTGCAGGATAATTCCTAATAGCTGATGAAATATGAAAGAGTGTAATCCGTGAAATATACAAGTTTTATGTCGCAAATAAGCTCATTTTGCTTTGGATTTACTTCCTGGTATATAATAACCAAATAGATACTCTGAGCCTGATTAATACGTTCCGCTTGGCAAAATGAACATACTTATTAAATCACACTGGAGAGTCATCAAGCATTATTACCTTTACAAGTTCAATTGACCATGATTGGATTATGTTATGTGGATCATTTGTACATATATTCTTCTTGATCAGATTACTCGTCTTAATCAAATGTGCTTAAGACAAATGGCTCCTTCTTGGTTTAAGAAGTTCAAAAGTGATTAGAAGCAGCTCATTGTAAAATCAATTACTAATGGGCATGAGGAATGATATTGTATTGACCTGGCATGTTGGATGTGTAGTTGCCCATCATTTCTTGATATTTATTTTCTCATTTGTAAGTACTTAATCCGCAGTTAAAATGGTGAAGTCAACTAATCCGCAGGGTTTTCATCTAATTTTCAGCAATGAGACACTATCTCTTTCTTGTATGGGATGGTAAAAAGTTGCAAAATATATCTGAAGAGGTATGTATACCATAATCTTCTTCAATTTCACAATTTGACGTGTTAGGTAGTGGGTTAGTTGAGATGGATGAGAATAAAAATGGTCAAGAAATACATCATGTTTGTGAGCTCAAAGTAGCAGCTATAAGACATATGACAGAACATCTTGAAATCGAGCTTGCAGCTAATAACTTGCATCATGTTATGCGAGTTGTTGATAATACAAAGCATTTGTTCACAATATTAGATGACATCGAGACAGCGCAACGTAGATTAGATGGCTACGTGATCGAACATGACGTGGATCAAAATCATGGACATTATTTTTACAATAGTCATTTAAATTTGCTGTCATCAAGATGCAAAAATTTTAAATAAATCCTAAAAAGAACAAATAATATCTACAGCAAATTTTATTGTTTACGAAGAAACCCAATTGTGTTATGTCGATTATGATTTGCGCTAGTTGCTAATTAATTTTTATTTAAAAAATAATTGTCAGATAATAATTATCGTTATGCTTCCATTTTAGATCGTTTGATTTTCGATCACTGGAATCAGATATCATTTACCAAAGTGCAGGGACGATGAAATTCTGCAAAATGCAGAAAACCGCAGAAATTGCAGATTAATGGGGTTTTTTGCAGAAATCATATTAAACTGCAGAGGTTGCAAAAATTGTGAATTTCCCCTTGTTCTTTTATAGAAAACGTGTACAAATTTTTTGACACGTCCTTTTTGAATAAAAATCACGTTTTTTTGATT